AGCCTTGCAAGCAATGTGACTAATGAGTTAGTTACAGGATGATGCATTACGGAACGTGTAAAGAGACTTGCTGGTAACGAGATTGAACTAGGTATGATGATACCGACGATGGAATATCGGGCAAGTAACATACCGATGACAAAGGAAATGACGTATGTTCTTATGCGGTTTGACCGATAAAGATCTTCGTAGAATATGTAGGAGCCAATATGAGCATCCTGGTTCTACTATTGGTTATTGACCGTAGATGTGTCTCGGTCATGTGTACATAGTTCTCGAACCCGTAGGGTCCGCATGCTTAACGTTCGATGACGATTTGTATTATGAGTTATGTGATTTGATGACCAAAATTTGTTCAGAGTCCCGGATGAGTTCACGGACATAACGAGGAGTCTTGAAATGGTCGAGAGGTAAAGATTTATATATTGGAAGGTTATATTCGGACATTGAAATGGTTCCGAGTGATCCGAGAATTTTTCCGAAGTACCGAGGGGTTACCGAAACCCCTGGGGAAGTTAATGGGCCTTAGTGGGCTTTAGTGCAGAGAGGGAAGAAGGGCCATGAGGTGGCACGCGCCTCCCCCTGCCCAAACCAAATTGGACAAGGGGTGGGGGTGCGGCCCCCTCCTTCCTTCTCCTTCTCCCCTCCTTCCTTTCCCTCCAGTGGAAGAAAGGAAAGGGGGGATCCTAGTTGGACTAGGAGTCCAAGTAGGACTCCCCCCTGGCGCGCCTTCTCGTTGGCCGGCCTCCTCCTCCCCCTCCTTTATATACGTGAGCAGAGAGGCACCCCAAAGCACAACAAACAATCTCTTAGCCGTGTGCGGTGCTCCCCTCCACAGTTTAACACCTCGGTCATATCATCGTAGTGCTTAGGCGAAGCCCTGCGCCGGCAACTTCATAAACACCGTCGCCATGCCGTCGTGTTGACGGAACTCTCCCTCGTCCTCAACTAGATCAAGAGCTCGAGGGAGGACGTCATCGTGCTGAATGTGTGCTGAACACGGAGGTGCCGTATGTTCGGTATTTGGATCGGTTGGATAGTGAAGACGTTCGACTACATCAACCGTGTTACTAAACGCTTGCGCTTTCGGTCTACGAGGGTACGTGGACACACTCTCCCGTCACGTTGCTATGCATCTCCTAGATAGATCTTGCGTGATCGTAGGAAATTTTTTAAAATACTGCATTCCCCAACAGTTTCGGCCCCAAGACGCACATAAATTCAAATTTGTCTTTTCTCGCTGCCAAAAAAATGCCACAAGTTCGGCGATCAACGGCGATCTGCCACAAAGTTCGAGGATCACCATACCACAGTTCGGCGATCAAACATAAACGATAGTTCGGCGCTCAAAAGGAATGACGCGTAAACAAAGGAATGCATCAAACGACGGGCTCCTCCAGCGTGGGACTGGCAGGCGTCCGCGTCGGCGTGGCTTCTATGCTCGGGCTGCTCAACGTCGGCGTGGCTTCTGTGCTCGGGCTGCTCGGCGTCGGCGTGGCTTCTGGGCTGGGCGTCGGCGTGGCTTCACCCCTCGGGCTGAGTGTCGGCCCGGCGTTGGGGTCAGCGTGGGCGTAGGCGCGGTGGTCCAAGGCATCTGGTTCAAGATGAGG